AAAAAAAAAAAAAAACCTCGGTCTATATTATTCAATGGGATTAATACATCCACAAGACAATATGGAAGGGATTGAATAAATAAAGAGAAATGAGGAACAAATAACAAGGATATCAAAATCTTGGTGATAATAATTTATCTGATAGGACACACAACAGAAAATGGTGCATGATAAGTCAACAAAGCAAAAGGTTTCATAATTAGAATGACATATTGCTTAAAAGATTAATTCCACATCCTTGAATACAAGTCCAGTCCGTAACTTCCTGCAGCCATTTGATGACAGGAACTGTGAATGAACTGATATATGAAGAACTTAAGATACATCTAAAAAAACCATTTCGCATTCACAGTAGTTCACGACCTTGAAGCTGAGTCATAAGAAGATAGCTTCACCCATACTTTTGAACAATCAAGAGTTATAACATCAGTTATGAACCAAGCCATGGAATATAAGAAAATACACCATTCTTATAGAGAATAACTAATGACTTTTGCATACAATTTTCTGTGTGACGAAGAAACTAGGTTCTTACATGCTGCCAAAATAAAAGGAAACATTTCACATGTACCTTTTTGTTTACTTTTATTCAACTTGCATTTTAAAATGCTTCTTTCAATTTCCACTCATAATATTGAAATTCCTACATCTGATTTGGTCCATAATAAGGCAACATCAGGGAGACGTCCAACAAAATTGATAACTGGATGAGATGGAAGATTTAAGAAGGCAGAAATGTCAGTGATTAACATTCTCTATTTGGTTTAAACAACAGCACAATCATCATATTTCAAAAACGTGGTATGGGATGGAACAGATACCACAAACCAATAAACGCGAACCAGAATCATAAAAGCAAAATAATAAAGCACTTGACCCTCAAAGTTTTTGAGATCAAAGTTAGAGTGGGGATATAACAAAAATGTTAGAGTTCGATGTAAAGAGAGAAAGGAGTAATATGAAAACTAAATTATCATATAGGAATACAACAACTGTTTAAGTGACCCCGAAATACATGAGCAGAGTCAGACATCACATTAAGGTGGCATCGAAAAGTACGAATGCAATCCAACAAATCAATCACATCAGAGAAAGCTTAAATGTCCGGGAGCACAGAATAGTTTTAGCTTATCAAAAGGGCAAGACTTTTACATTTTTATGCATCGAATTTTGCCGAAAAGAAAAAAAAAAAAAAGGAAAAAAGAATTACTTTCCCCTATATATCATATCTAGGTCTAATTTTAGCTGGATGTTTCAGCTGTGAAAAAACAAGAATCTTCCTGAATCAGCTCATGTACCAAAGACATTAGAGCCACACAAAACCAGCAAAATCGAGGGCATAAATGGGACCAGACAACAATTACAGTAAATTCCCACCATAGGCTCATATCGCCCCGCTCTCTGGACCCTAAAAGCGAGAGCTCAGTCGATCTATAAAAACTGGGTTTTTTCATTCCTCTTCTTATGTCGGTTCATGCTATATCTGTGTAGTTAAAAAATGACAACAAACAAAGACGACGACGACGATACGACGATACGCTTCAAATTGATGCATTCACAAAAGCACGCGATCCCAATTGTTAAGCAGATGCGAGCTACAACAACCCAGATATTCAAACGCCGCAGGGCGACCATAAAATCGACACGCCCCACTCAGACCTCAATTGGAAAAAAGGGAACAACCTAAATGATGAAGGAAGAGAAATCTAGGAACAAATACATGAATGCAGCACACATACCAGCAAATAATTTGTTCTTTCTTGTTCACGGCACGGCGAATTAGGTTTCCTCGATTGAATCGCACCTTTCTTGTTTTCTCGTCTTGCAGTGTATAGAAACCCTACCCAACTGAATCGACTTTGGGGTTCGAAAGTTTTGGGATATTTTTGTACTGATGAAAATAGAAATTGGGACATTTTTCCCGTATTTGGAGTTGGACAGATTAGTCCCTAACCTTTTGGCTGGGAATGGGCCTTCGCTTGAGGGTTATTAGTGGCAAATAATCCTACATTAATTATTTAGAAAAGATGTTACGGTCTCGTTACAGAATCATTTGGTCGGGATTTGTAACCGCTAGATCAATTATCCCCGACGGTTACATGATGATCTAACGGTTACAAATTCCGACGAAATGGTTCCGTAATGAGACCGTAGCATTTCTCATTATTTAGAGCCCTTCTTTATCACAACTCACAAAAAAGTCTAGCTTCAATAGTTAATCACGATAATTTATTAAACGAGTCAGACTGATCTTTGCTTGCAAATAGCTTGTTTATTTTTTCTTTTATATAGGTTTCAAGCAAATATCCTAACCGAACATTGTTCGAGCAAATTGTATTTAAAGGCTCATTACAATTTTTGGTTCGAGATTAAATAAATCGAACGTCTAACTAGTTTATTAAACGAACACGAGCTGAAACACGAAGTGCTCAGTCCGGTTCGACTCTGCTCATCGTCTTAACACTAGTTCAAATATTTAATATGAAATTTCATAGTATTGACTTGGTTCAAAATTGAGAAAAATGCAACTTTCACGTGAAAAATTATTATTATTATTATGATTATTAGTATTGTTATGTGCATGTTATTCGAAATTTACATAATTATTGACTTAAGACAACATGATAACTGGAAAATTTTATGGCATGAGATTAATAACTATTTATATCAAGCACCTCTCTAGATCTTGTAACTATTAACATGTAAGTTTGTTTTAAGTGGGGTAATAATAAAATATGCTAGATTTGTTAAAAGTATATGATTCTTCAATAATTACATATATCTAACAACAATTATACCCATTTTGAAAAAAAAAAATCATGCAGACTTAATTTTATATCCAACAACTACTTTACAGATCTTGAAAAAGACAACATGAAAAATTATTTTGAGGAACATATTGAGTTTCTTCTTGATTATTTTTTTTTTAATACTTTATGGTTATTTTGTTATGGAACTTGCAATATCAAAGAAAATGGTCATTGTTCACTACCAAAAATTCTATAGAGCCATCGGATGTTTTTTTTTATTGAGTCATTTATCACTTAATATATTGACATATGTCCAAATTGTACTTATTGTAGTACACGTATCAATCCACTAATGGTGAATAAGTGTAGATGGCTCTATAAGTCGAGTCATTCGATGACTCCATAAACTGTGAAAATGGCGAAAGTAGAACGAAAAATATTTGGGAGAATTCTAGATTTTCATATCATAGCTCAGAGTCTCGAGCTCTACATAAATGTTCATCTTACAGTAAAAATAAAGACAGAAAAGGAAAATATAAACCAAACCCACTTGGGTATTGTCCAATGATCTCAGCCGTACACGTGGCTGAGATTTTAGATGAGAAAAAACAAAAAGAACAATGAAGTGCGACTAAGAACGGTGTAACACGATTAAAACAAAACAAAAGAACTTTTAATATTCAACACCCCCTCCTCAAGCCGGACGTGGAATCAAAGATACCAGGCCGAGCTTGCACATCATCCAACGAAGTCAAGGGCCCTAAAGGAGTTTGGTAAAGACATCCGCAAGCTGTGTAGAGGTAGAAACATGAAGAAGATGAATAAAACCTTCCTTGCATTTGTCACGGACGATATGACAGTCAATATCTAGATGTTTGGTGCGCTCATGAAACACCGGGTTTTTCGAAATGTGGATGGTTGCTTGGTTATCACAGTAGACATCAATAGGTAGAGGAACATCAACTCTGAAAGCTGAAGAGAGGTAAGTGATCCATTGAAGTTCATGAACTGTACTGCTCAAGGCCCTGTACTCTGCTTCGGCTGTGGACTTATAAACTGTGCATTGTTTCTTGCTTTTCCAAGAGATAAGAGAAGTACCTAGGAATACACAATAGCCGGTAACCGAGCGCCTGGAATCCTTGCAAGCAGCCCAATCTGCATCTCCATAAGCTCGCAGATTAAAAGAAGAAGTGGAGGAGTAAAATAGTCCCATATGGGAAGTTCCTCTAAGATACTTCAGAACATGTAAGGCAGCTTTCCAATGATCCATACATGGATTAGTCACAAATTGACTTAATTGTTGCACTGAATAAGTAAGGTCAGGTCTAGTCAGGTTCAAGTAAAGCAACCTTCCTATAAGCCTTCTATATCTCTCTGCCTCAACAAGTGGTTCTCCTTGATTAGCAACCAAAGACAGACCACAAGGCAAAGGTGTAGACACTGACCTGCTGCAGTCTAAATGAACATCTTGAAGCCAGTCATTAATGTACTTCTGCTGACTTAAAAAAACACCATCAGTACCTCTGGTGATTTCCATCCCAAGAAAGAACTTTGCAGCTCCTAAATCTTTGATAGTGAAAAGGTTATGTAAGTAACTTCTCAGCATCTCAATAGCTTCCATGGTACTACCAGTCACCAAAAGGTCATCCACATAAACCAAAACACCTAAGAAAGAAGAATCAGTTTCAAGAGTGAACAAACAATGGTCATAAGGAGACTATTTCATGCCATATTCGAGGAGCTTGGAGGTGAATTCTTGGTTCCATTCTCTTGAAGCTTGTTTGAGCCCATATAGGCTCCTTTTCAATTTACAAACCTGTCCAGGAACACCTTTGCTATAGCCATCATGAGGCTTCATGTATACCTCTTCATGAAGATATCCATGTAAAAAAGCATTGTTCACATCGTAATGCATAAGTGGCCACCCTTTGATAGTGATGAAAGCAATAAAAAATCTGACAGTCACCATCTTGACTACTGGGGAGAAACTATCCAAATAATAAATCCCAAACACTTGGTTAAAACCCTTGGCTACCAACCGGGCTTTATATCTTTCCACTGTCCCATCCATTTTTAGTTTGACCTTAAAGACCCATTTGCTACCTATAGCCTTTTTTCCTTTAGGTAAATCAGTCATCTCCCAAGTGTTATTTTCTTCTAAAGCTGCAAGTTCCTTATTTATGGCCTCTACCCACTCAGCCTTGGTACAAGCTTCAGCATAGCTAGATGGTTCTCTTATGCTAGATACTTGGTGCAAATATTCATGATATGCAGGGTTATAACTAACATGCTTCACAAGTTGGTCAGGTAAATGAGTGCATGAGTCAGTAACATAATATAACTCATAATCAGTCATCCATGCATGTGGCTTTCTGGTTCTTTTAGTGGGAATGATATCAGGCTTAGGAGAAGATATAGATGCAGAAGGTAATGTGTCTGCAGCAGAATCTGAATGAGGTATTTCTTGTGGCAAAGGCAAGGGAAAACTATCTGAGTTGTCTATAACAACAGATTCAGAGAATGGGAATTGATGTGTCAAGAATGTGACATCCCTTGAGAACAGGAGTTTATGAGTGGAAATGTCATACAAATGATAAGCTTTCTTTCCAGTAACAAATCCCAAGAATATGCACTTTTGTGCTCTTGGACTGAATTTAGATTTGGTAGGTGTGTTGTTTGCTGCATAGGATAAACAACCAAAAGGCTTGAGGGTAGAGTAGTCAGGTGGTTCATGATAAAGAATTTCATAAGGAGTTTTCCATTTCAGAACAGGTGAAGGTATCCTGTTTATAATATGGGTGGCATATAAGATGGAATATGGCCAAAAATGAATGGGCAAATTAGAATGAAACATGATGGATCTCCCTATATCAAGGATGTGTCTGTGTTTTCTTTCGACCACTCCATTTTGTTGCGGAGTGTGTATGCAAGTAGTTTGGTGTATAACTCCCAAGGATTTCAGAAAAGTTTGACACTCATGGCTAAGAAACTCTAGCCCATTATCACTCCTTAGGTATTTGACCCCAGCTTTGAATTGTGTCATAATCATATGGAAGAATTGTTTCAAAACAGTAAGGACCTCACTCTTCTGTTTCAGCAAAAAAACCCAAGTGCCCCTACTGTGATCATCAACTATGGTGAGAAAGAAAGGGGTATTTGTTAGAGATGGTTCCTTACAGGGACCCCAAATATCAATATGCAAGAGCTCAAAATTGTATGTGGATTTAATATTGGATAAAGGAAAAGAAAACCTGTGGAATTTTCCTTTAAAACAAGCATCACAACTCTTTATTTTCTCAACATCAGCAACCGTACATCTGGCTTGATGAAATGTAAATGTTCAAGAACACCAAGTGAAGCATGACCCAAAACTTAGTGCCAAAAATACAAAGACTCATTATCAACAACAGAATGACAAGAAATTTCAGGATTACATGAAGAAGGATAAGTGGTGTTCTGAAGTATGTAAAGTTTCCCCATCAACTTCCCAAATGCTAAGGTTTCATGTGATTCAAGGTCCTGCAAGACACACAAGGTTGGTGTAAAAATGCACTTCATGTTTGACTGAACTGAAAGTTGTGGGATAGAGAGCAGATTATATTTGAATTCAGGAATGAAAAGAACATCATGAAGAGTTATGGTTTTGGACAATTTAACTGAGCCAGTTTGTGTGACTTGGAATGAAGTTCCATTTGGAAGATGCACATGTACATAAGGTACTAAAGGTTTCAGATCATGAATCAGGCTTATGTCAATGCACATATGTCTACTCGCACCAGTATCTAACACCCAAGAATCACTATCTATACCTTCAAATGTACTTAAAGCATACTGAGTAGTGTCAATACCTGCTGAGTTGACAAAGTGCACATAGTCTCCTTCATTGCCATCTGAAGTTCCCTTTGAGCCAAAAAACTTCATTAACTCCTGTTGAATAACCACAGAAAGATCATTTGGAGCTGCATAGGCTTGTGAGCTGCTATCAGAAACAGAAGATTGAGACTCATTTTTATCAAGTGCAGCATTTGCAAATCCCTTTGGCTTCTGTTGTTCCTTGAATTTGTGATACCACTCAGGTACACCATGTAACTTGAAACATTCTGACATCTCATGGCCTGGTATGTGACAATATTCACATGTAAGCTTAGCATTCTCTTCTTTAGTCCTTCTATGTCCCCCTCTTCCCCTATTGGGACCTCTGTTCCCTAAGAAATGACCTCCTCTTCCTGTATTACCCCTACCAATAGGGATATTCCTCACCATTGCTGAGCTTTCAAACTGATTATTATAGGCCAAGCTTGCTGACTTCTGTTGTTCAACTCTCACTAGCATAGAATATGCTTTGTCAACCTCAGGCAAAGGCTCCATTAGTAAAATTTGGGACCTCACTGGCTCATAGATATCATGTAGACCCATAAGAAACTGCAATAATTTTGTTTGGTTCTCATTTTCCATCACATTCTTCCCAATTGGACAAGCACATATAGTAGGATTTTTCAGATTCTCATATTGATCCCAAAGTCGTTTAATCTGAGAGAAGTATTCAACTATGTTATCATGACCTTGATTGATACTAGCAATTTCTCTCTGAAGCTTATACAGAAGTGGACCATTGCTTTGACCGTATCTCTTTGCTATTGTATCCCAAAGCTCTCTAGCACTATTCACATACACAAAACTCTCAACTATGTCCTTAGACAAGGTATTCAGAATCCATGAAGTGATCATATAATCTGTTTTCTTCCAGATCTCATAGTTTTCATCATTTTCATCGGGCTCAGAGATCTTACCATTGACAAATCCAAGCTTAGATTTAGCTCCCAGCGCGATCGTCATTGCTTTGCGCCATGGAAGGTAATTAGGTCCTGTGAGTGGATTTGATACGAGCATCATCCCTGGATTATCGGAGCTATGGAGTTGAGTCGGATCTTTAGGAGCGAGATTCTGTTTGGACGAGCTTACCTTGCCATCGCCGGCATTTAGCAGCGGCCATGTGGTATTGTTCCAAGGATTCGCCATAGTCAGATCGATGTTTACCAAGCTCTGGATACCATGTGAAAATGGCGAAAGTAGAACGAAAAATATTTGGGAGAATTCTAGATTTTCATATCATAGCTAAGAGTCTCAAGCTCAACATAAATGTTCATCTTACAGTAAAAATAAAGACAGAAAAGGAAAATATAAACCAAACCCAATTGGGTATTGTCCAATGATCTCAGCCGTACACGTGGCTGAGATTTTAGATGAGAAAAAACAAAAAGAACAATGAAGTGCGACTAAGAACGGTGTAACACGATTAAAAAAAGACAAAAGAACTTTTAATATTCAACATATTCCTTTTAGATTACTTTTATTTGAATTTTATTTTGTCCTTTTTACTTTTCCCAAACCTTATCTTTTCTATGTTTGATTTATCTCCACATCAGGGGCGAAACTAGAAAATTAGTTGAGAGAGGGCAGAAGACATGACATGATGGTTTCAAAATTGAACCCTAATAGGTTTAGAACCAATAACATTTCGGTAACCGATTTTCGGTTACCGTTACACATAGGTCGGTTCAGTTCAGTTTATTTTATCATCGATTCAGATCGGTTTTTATTTTCTCATCGGTTCGGCTCCCAATCAAAAATTATCAGCCATAGCCTGGCCAATAAAAGAGAGTTGAAGTCTTTTATATGGGCCAATTAAAATTGTAGAATGATAATAATTAATATACAAAATTAATAGTAAAATAAAAGAAGTGTTGAATTGTTAATTAATATTAAAATAAAAAAAAAGTGTTGAATTGTTTATTGATAATTGTTGACAAGTTGACCTTGTGAGTAACGTTTAAAAACAAAAAATTTGGAGGTGCAAAAATAAATTTAATAGAGATCAAAATTAAAATTTTTAACATTAATAGTAAAAGAATTAAAATTTTAGGGGGGAGCAATTGCCCCCTACTAATACATGTAGCTTCGCCCATGCTCCGCATATATATTCTTCTTAGCTTAGCAGCAACCATATCATTGAACATTATTCATGTAAAAAAGTTTTCTGTGAAATCAATGTGAATATCATTTTTCCTTCTGTCATTTTCAATTTACATGCTTCAACATGGTATCAGAGCCCCATGATAAAACTTGGGGCCGTATCTTTATTTATTTCTGCTATTGATGTTTTTCAAACTGACCTTCGTACTTTGCTTGATGAAACTTGCATATGTTTTCGTTTATTTTCTTTTTATTTGTTTAAAAGTTGCGAACTAGTTCTTATTATCAAAGTTATGAGCTTTACGTTAAAGCTTGCATCGTTTCATTTATTTCAATGAAGCTTGCATTTTTGCGTCTATTTTTGTTTATTTTCTTCTTAATAAGTCTAGGATTGAATATATTACTTGTGATGTGTGTTAGAAATCAATTTCATGCTTATTTGTTTTAAAGTTGCGGAACTTGTTCTTATTATCAAAGATACGAGCTTTACGTCAAAGCTTGCATCTTTTCATTTATTTCAATGAAACTTGCATTTTTTTCGTTTATTTCTTCTAATATGTCTAGGATTGAATATGTTGCTTATGATGCGTTAGAAATCAATTTCGTGCTTATTTGTCTAAAAGTTGCGAACTTTTTCTTATTATCAAAGATGCGAACTTTATGCGTCAAAGCTTGCATCTTTTCATTTATTTCAATAAAGTTTGCATCTTTTCGTTTATTTTCATTTATTTTCTGTCCAGGATTGAATATGGTGCTTGGGCGCTTGTATTTTGGATCAAGCAAGCAGATGTATTCTTCTTTCATTCATGGTTTGAGGAAAGAAATATCCTCCGAAATAAAAGCATGTTGCGGGCTCCATGTTTTACCATATGAGGAATCATATAAGGATGTCTCCACAGTTACAGAGTACGAAGATGAATTGCTTGTCAAATTCTGGGCCTATGATTTTTATCTTTTCGCTTACAAGCCGTTTAAGAGCCTCAAGTGGCAGGAGCTGCGTGTAGGTAAGGAGAATGCATGGGTTCTTCCGGATATTGAAGCGGACTGCATGGATGTACTTTCCAATTATGAAAATCTTCTTAGGCAAGCTGGGCATAAGCATATAGAAAATGTTGTAATCAACCGAAAAAATTTAAAAGATGTCGTGTATTCATTAGGCAAAAACTCTCCGTGCAGGATAACAGACTTCATTTCTTTAAATCGTCCAACAGTAAAAACGCGAGGGTGGGGGTTAAAAGACTTCAGTTTTTCTCAAAGATCCAAATTTTTCAAGCGAGTACTTAGTTTATTCCATTTTTTCTATTGATGTTTTTCAAATTGAGCTTGCTATTTTGCTTGAGTAAAGTTCGAAACTTTTTAGTTTCATTGCTTATGATGTGTGTTAGAAAATACATTCGTGCTTATTGTGTTTAAAAGTTGCAAATTATTTCATTTTTTTTAAAAGAGCATGCATTAGGAGAGAGTGAGCACTTATATTTATTCATTTTTGCTATCGATGTTTTTCAAACTGAACTTCGTACTTTGCTTGATGAAGCTTCCATGTTTTCATTTTTCTTTTAAGTTTATTTTCTTCTTATTATATCTAGGATTGAATATGTTGCTTGTGATGTGTTTTAGAAATTAATTTCATGCTTATTTGTTTAAAAGTTGCAAACTTGTTCTTATTATCAAAGATACGACGTTTATGTTAAAGCTTGAATCTTTAAATTTATTTCAATGAAGCTTACTTTTTTCATTTATTTTCCTCTTAATATGTCTATGATTGAATATGTTGCTTGTGATGTGTGTTAGAAATCAATTTCATGCTTATTTGTTTAAAAGTTGCGAGCTTGTTCTCATTGTCAAAGATACGAGCTTTACCTTCAAAGCTTGCATCTTTTCATTTATTTCAATGTTTGTTTTCGTTTATTTTCTTCTTAATATGTCTAAGATTGAATATGTTGCTTGTGATGCGTTAGAAATCAATTTCGAGCTTATTTGTTGAAAAGTTGCAAACTTTTTCTTATTATCAAAGATATGAGCTTTATGCGTCAAAACTTGCATCTTTTCATTTATTTGAATAAAGCTTGCATCTTTTCATTTATTTTTGTTTATTTTCTATCCAAGATTGAATATGGTGCTTGGGTGCTTGTATCTTGGATCAAGCAAGCAGATCTATTCTTCTTTCGTTGATGGTTTGAGGAAAGAAATATCCTCCGGAATAAAAGCACGTTGCGGGCTCCGCGTTTTACCATACGAGGAATCATATAAGATGTCTCCATAGTTACAGAGTACGAGGATGAATTGCTTGTCAAATTCCGGGCCTATGATTTTTATCTTATGGCTTACAAGCTGTTTAAGAGCCTCAAGTGGCAGGAGCTGCGTGTAGGTAAGGAGGATGAATGGGCTCTGCCGGATGTTGAAGCGGACCGCATGGATGTACTTTCCAATTATGGAAATATTCTTAGGCAAGCTGCGCATAAGCATATGGAAAATGTCGTAATCAACCCGCAAAATTTAAAAGATGTCGTGTATTATTGGGCAAAACGCCCCGTGCAGAATAAAAATAGCAACCTTATCAATCAGATTTAGCTATGTAGATCAATTTCAACCCAATTAAACATCTCAAACCAAGCAATGATTTCATCAACTAAATGAAAAAAAAAAAGAGTTACGATTAATAGAGAAATCGAACTTGAATCTGAATTACAACTTTAGTCCAAAAGCAATCAAGAAATCAAGTTGAAAGATGGAGTTTTTGGAGAGAAAAATAGAAAAGAACGAGAATGGAGATCTCCCCTAAGATCTGGGAACATGCCTAAATATATAGGGCTCGAGTAAAAACAGGTCGAAAAATAAGTCGGGTCGCGCAAGGTGCGTGCCACGGCAGTGCCTGGGAAGGTCTCTGGTCTGGCCGCGGCAGGTGCCGTGCCGCGGCACAGTGATGACGGATCGTGTGTTCGTTCCCTCGACTTGTCTCGATCACGGCTTCGCCACGGCCTTGCTCTCGACGATAGGTGTGATCGACTCGGTTATTAACCTAACTCTCTCACGATACTTGAGTTCACTCGGGTATTAGCCTCGCTACACTCTTTTGAACTGGATTGGGTCTTAGCCTCACCAATTCGGTTGCATGATCTAATTCTCACGAACCCTAACACACGGTTTGAACAAACGTTCCTTTTCTATTTCATCAAATCCAAGACATTAAAAACAATGAGGGATGCTCCCTATTTATAGATCATAACTATGACTAATTCTAATCTACCTAAGAAACATATTAAAGCAATAAAATATTAAATTCCTAAACAATCTAGATATTATTGTGCAAGAAGGACACTAAATATACTAGAGTCCTAAATTGACTAGATCTTGATCTTGCTTGGCTTGCACTCCAAAAAATTCCAAACTCACGCCCAAGAACTCGGCCGCCTTTATGAGCGCCGCCTCATCGCTACTCCTTTTCGCGCGCACTTGCGCCCCACGCACGCCGCCCTTGCTACGCCTATTCCCGCGTGGATTGGGTCGCCCGCGTCTGCCCCGTACTCGCGCATCATTGCGCGCCCTGTCGCTGCCCATCTTCTCGCACGCGTGTTGCCGCGCGCTCGCCACTCTTACCCCTATGCGGCCTCGGCTTCCGCCCGCATGACCTTCACCCGCGCGCCCAGCTCGCCCGTCGCTCGCTCCCCGCGCGTACCTCCTATCGCCCGCGATCCGATCGCCTACCGTGCACCCGCGTACACCCAATGCTAACCGCATGCTGACCACCCGCTCTCGCGCATCACTGCCCGATGCGCGCCTTTCGCCCGTGCGACCATCGATCACCCCCGGCCAATCTTAAGCCTCAACGACCACTTCCGTATCATTCCCCTCATCTTCAAGACGTTCCTTGTCCTCAAGGATTAAGAAATTCAGTACATCCACGTCGCTATCTTCTTCAACGGGAAATTCATTTTGATCCTAAGTCCTCAACTTAATGCGCTTTCTTGGTCGTCCAAACTCCATCTTTCCTCGCTTATAGTCAGTCGTACTGGGTCCAAGCGTTTCCAGCCACTGTACTCCTAACA